AATTCCCTGTCCATATACTGTTTCAGTCATTTTTGAATTCTGTTTTGCAAAATTTTACTTGCATGATCTATTAATATTGTCTGATGATTTCCACATTCAGTTGCATCACCTCACTTTGGAATGGGCATACAAATATAGATCTTTTCCAATCACTTGGCCAAATAGCTATCTTCCAAATTGCTTGGCATAGATGAGTGAGTGCCTCCAGTGCTGCATCAGTTTGTTGAAAGATTTTAATCTATATTACATCAGTTCCCGAAGCCTTGTTCTTTGCCAGTGCCTTCAGTGCTCCTTGGACTTCTTCTTTCGGTACCATATGCTTACCTCCTGAAAGGGTTGAAATCAACCATTTCCTTTTGGTACACTGTCTCTGTGCATTCCTTCCATCATCTTGTGAAATTCTGTCATGTGATCTCCTGCATCATTTCTATCACCAAGGCCAGATTTTCCAACTACTGATCCTTTCTCTTTGTTCCCAACCTTTGCCATTGCAGTCACCAGTAATTATCAGTTCATCTTGATTACACGCTTGATTAATTTCAGACTGAAGAAGTTGGCAGAATTCTTCAATTTCATCATCTCTGCTTGGTGCATAAATTTGAATAATAATGGTATTAACTGGACTTCCTTGTAGACATATGGCTATTATCCTATCACAGACAGCAGTGGACTTTAATATAGATCTTGAAACGTTCTTTTTAATGATAAATGTGATGCCATTCCTTTTGACTTTGTTGTTCCTGACATCGTAACCCATGATTGTTGTATTCAAAATGGCCAATACTGGTCCATTTCAGCTCACTAATGCCCAGCATATCGATCTTTATGTATCCCGTTTCATTTTTGACAATTGTCAATTTTCCTAGATTCATAGTTTGTATAGTCCCTGTCCTCAAACGAAGGTCCGGAAGCTTTATTCCATTTCCATCAATATGGTCAAGTCTACTTTGCATAGGCAGCTTTTTCCTAGTCATATCATATATTGTGTGACTTTCAAGCTTATCTTCTCACACTCTGTTCTTTAGCTATTCATAAAGTTTTCATGTCCTGATAACACATATTTAAGGTGTGTAGTGACTGAACTACCAGAAGTAGTCCTCCTCTCCCTTTTCCTAATCTGTCTTAGTCTGGAATCTCCTCTGAAACTTGTTCTTCATGGGAAACTCTTCTTGTATTTAAAATACTGGTGGTATACATTCCAACATCACAGCAACACACTATGCACCACAATAGGACAAACTGCAAAAACTCATGAAAGACAAATTAAAAAGGAAATAATGTTGTAAATGTCAAAATAGTTCTGTTGATTAGAAACTTAAAAACCAATAACCCAAACTAAACAAGCCTTCAATTACTCCAGTTGATAGAGTTTAGCGTCTCATCTGTCGACTTGCTATTGGGAAATCTGTATTGCTCAGGAGGCCGACTTGTCTTCAGTCTAAATTTAGTATTTTGTTCTGCGTACACAGGATTGCTGTGAGTAGGACCTGACTGCGTGCCACCTAACAAACAAGACTTTGAAGCTTTGTGGAATCGAAAACTTGAGAAAAGCATTGTTCTCAGTTTCCAGGAGATTTTCAGTAGGAAAAAGTGGCTGGGAAGTTTAGCCTTGTTTCAGAAGTTGATTCATGCAAGACGCATAATGTCTTAAATGGAATCCAAAATTTCAGCCAGGTGAAAATGTCAGGCTGAATTACAGTGAGATGAATCAAACAGTTGTGGCAATCCTGGTGCCACTTTGGTGGCTGTTGTGTCACTGAAGGGTAAATGACCACAGGAATGATTCTGCGTCCTATACTAGAAGGGACTTCTGAGGCTGTAGCAGGAATTTCAAGACTCGCCCTTGTTTGGCATCCCTTTTGTTGATGTGGACTGGGGACTTAACTATTCCTTACCTCCTTTTCTCCCAGGGTGGAATTGCTTGCTCTTTCTTAGCATGGGCTTATCTTTTCCTTTGTGTCTTCACCACTGCAGCAGAAAATAAGAGCTTTAGCTTGCTTTTGTCAATTGGCGAGTAAGAACCCACTGTCTTAATTCTTATACATGCAAAGGAATACGTGTTTCTTATACATGCAGAGGAATCCCAGCTATGTGTCTTATTCTGACCCTTGGTCATATTGATGGGTACAGTTTTTAGTTCATCTTGTCTATGAGTGCATGTAATTTGCTATATTGGTCCAGATTCATAAAAACTTCATTATTTAATGATAAATTATTCTTGATTTAAATAGCATGACAAAATGTGTTAACCTTCTCTGTTGTCAAATTCAGACTTTTGAAGTTCCATTTTGATACAAATACAAAAGTGAACTCTGACCAAAACTTTTCTTTACTTGTGTTGTATTGAACTACTACTTACTTTGAATCAAATTTGTTTTACAAGTTGTTGTTATGTGTCGTCAATTTGGTTCCGACTCACATCATCTGTTTTTAGTATAGGGTCTCTGAGGTTGTACATCTTTATGGCAGTAGAAAGCTTTATCTTTTACCTGTGGAGCTGCTGGTGGGTTTGAACTGCTGACCTTGTGGTTAGCAGCCCAGTGCTTATCCTTTAACACCACTTGTGCTCCTTACACATTATTGCTACTGAATTATTCTACTTCTTACTCGATTAGCAGTTTTGGTACCCAAGGCTCCTTGCACAAAACAGTACTTTCACAAGTACTATTATATATTTGGAGTCATGATGTCGCACTGTAGGATAAGCACTCTATTGCTAACCACTAGGTTGGCAGTTCAAACTCACCATTCACTCCTCGGAAACTGTCTACAGGGTCCCTATGAGTCAGAACCAACTTGATGGCACTTAACAACAACAACATTATACATTGGGAGTGTGGTGGTCCCTGGGAGAAAGATGAGGCTTTCTGCTCCCACAAAGATTTACAGTTTTGGAAGCCCTATGCAGGGTCAACTGAGTTCGAACCAATTTAACAGCACTTAAATGTGGCATCAGGATTGGGGGAAGACTCATTAACAACCTGTGATATGCAGATGATACAGCCTTGCTTACTGAAAGTGAAGAGGACTTAAAATACTTACTGATGAAGATCAAAGACCACAATCTTCGGTCTGGATTGCATCTTAATGTAAAGAAAAGAAAAATCCTTACCACTGGACCAATAAACAACATTCTTGTCAATGGACTTCATTTTGCTTGGATCAACCATCAACACTCATGGAAGCAGCAGTCAAGAAGTCAAGAACTCAAACAACGTATTGCATTAGGCAGATCTACTGCACAAGACCTTTTTAAAGTGAAGATGAGGAAAAGATGTCAGTTTGAGGACTAAGATGTACCTGACCCAAGTCATGATATGTTTAGTAACCTCATATGCATGTGAAAGTTGGACAGTGAATAAGAAAGGACCGTAGAAGGATTGATACATTTGAGTTATGGTGTTAGAAGAGAATATTGAAAGTGCCATAGGCTGCCAAAAGAACAAATAGATTTGTGTTGGAAGAAGTGCATGCAGCCAGAGTGCTCTTTGAAAGCCAGGATAGCCAGACTTTGTCTTTCATACTTTGGACATATTGTCAGGAGGGACCAGTCACTGGAAAAGGATATCATATTTGGTATTCCTTTTTAATTGCAGAGAATAGAGGCTACCTTAGATAAACCAAGAATTTTGCCTTAAATTATTTATTGTGCTTAAAGGCAGGTTATTTAAGATTAAGACAGCATGTATTTTATCATCACTTCCTTAACAGTTTTGTTGTTTCCCCATCCTAAATGGTAGCGCAAGCAGAACAAACGTTTAGTTTGGCTTAGCTGGTGGTAATTTCTGACAGCCTTGGGTTGCAGGCATTCTCACAGCCACTTTCTACATGTTGTTGTCAGGTGCCATCGAGTCAGAACCGACTCATAGCAACCCCATGCACAGCAGAACAAAACTATGTCCGATCCTGGGCCAACCTTACTACCGCCGCCACACTTGATGCCATCAATGATGCCACCTGGCTGATCCATCTCGTTGGGGGTCTTCTTCTTTTTCTCTGACCCTCCATCTTATCCAGCATGACATCCTTCTCCACCGACTGTTCTCTCTGAACAATGTGTCCAAAGTAGGTGAGACGAAGCTTAGCCATCTTGGCCTCCAAGGAGCACTCTGGTTGTACTTCTTCCAAAACAGATCTATTGGTTCTTTTGGCAGTCCACGGCACTTTCAGTATTCTCCTCCAACACCACAACTGAAAGGCATCAATTCTTCTACGATCTTCCTTATTCACTGTCCAGCTTTCGCATCCATATGAGGTTATTGAAAATATCATGGCTTGGGTCAGGCGCACCTTAGTCCTCAAGCTGACATCTCTGCTCTTCAGTACTTTAAAACGTTCCTGTGCAGCAGATTTGCCCAATGCAATACGTCATCTGATCTCTTGACCACTGCTTCCGCAAGTGTTGACAGTTGATCCAAGAAGAATGAAGTCCTTGACAACTTCAATCTCTTCTCCATTGATAAGAATGCTGTTTATTTGTCCAGTGATAAGGATTTTTGTTTTCTTAACATTGAGATGTAATCCGTATTGAAGGCTGTGCTCTGTGATCTTCATAAGTATATGAAGAAAAACGTGGCATCAGGATTGGTGGAAGACTCATTAACAACCTGCGATATGCTGATGATGCAACCTTGCTTGCTGAAAGTGAAGAGGACTTGAAACATATACTTATGAAGATCACTTTCTACATAGGTCTCATTTAATGGGTTTTCTCTCTGAGTATCTGCCCTCCAAGTACCTGGTCATATGATTAGAGATGATGTCTAACAAGAATAAGTCCCATACACTGAAAAAGGTGGTCTTTGCTCAGTGGAGTCAAGGCTTGGGAGAAAGGCAGTACCTGTCTCCTCGAGAGCTGTCCCTCATGCGGGCTGATAGCATTTTGAGTCACCCACACCATCAGCTTCAGTGTTTGCATTCAATTTTCTATTTTTCAGGATTTTCCTTTGACTAGCAATGAAGTCTGTTGAGCATGATTTTGTTTTTGTGTTTCCTGGTAGATCTACTTCCCCAGCAGGACAGCATCGTTCCCCTATATCTTCTAGACACCATTCATCTTCCTCCCAGTCGGGATCGTCAATTCAGAGACACTCTCCTTCTCCTCGGCGAAAGAGAACGCCTTCACCAGCTTACCAGAGGACAGTAACTCCACCTTTACGACGCTCCGCTTCTCCTTATCCTTCACATTCTTTGTCTTCTCCTCAGAGAAAGCAGAGTCCTCCAAGGCATCGCTCTCCAATTCGAGAGAAAGGGAGGCATGATCATGAACGAACTTCTCAGTCTCATGATCGGCGTCATGAAAGGAGGGAAGGTATGCATTATACTTCATCTTGATTTTTTTTTTAAAGTTATTTTATTTAAATATTTTCTTGATTTAAAAAATGGGCATTCAATGTATAAATTATCCTACTTTATAATAGGGGATATCAAGGTAATATGTTATTTTAAGTCTTTTCTAACAAACTAAAGCTCTTAGGGTAATAGGAGATGCTAATGAAATGTACCCGTTATTCCTAAGTGGGTATTTGTTGGCATACTAATTTGGTGCTTTCTTTTGTCAAGATGTTCTAATGAGGACTGTCCAGTTCTAGAGATTTTTGTTTATCTGATTCTTGGAGCATTTCTCTCAATTGCACAGTTAATTTTTAGAAAAAAGAAAGAAAATAAGGAAATCAAGGAACAGAGTTTGAAAGTACTGGAAGTGCCTTACTGGGGTAAGGTCCTGGGAGGAGCTTTCACAAGATCAGTACAAACCAAATAAACAAATTTCTAGGTATAACTTCTAATAAGGGAGTAAATGAAGCTGTTTTCCTCCCAAGGTCCCTGAGAATTAAGTCACTTTGAATTTGTTATTCCCACTTTAAACTGAGACACCAGTATTCCTTGGCATGCAGCCTAGTACTTCTCATCTCTTTGTTTACTTCTTGTCTAAGCTCTTTGTCCTCATTTATTTAACTTAGATTATTTTCTAACTTCTCCTTAGTTAGTTTGTAAACATAATGAGTACTCAGGAATTGCTTACTTGTAACTTTTCTGTTTAACCTGCTTTTTCAAAGCCTCTCTGTGAGTACAGTGTAATAGTCTCCTATAAAACATGTTGAACTTAGTTATTCTCTTCCTATCAACAGTGCAAGCAATAATTAATCAAGTTCTTTTATTCAAGAAAATGATGGATGCATAGGTAGGGACCGGAGAGAGCACCTATTTTATAGAGTTATTCCTTGTGTACATGATTTTGGAGCCAGATCAGCACAACAGTATTTATGGAACATTGGTAAGATGGGAAAATTCCCTTATACCTATCTATTAATTTAATAAGATAGTAGCAACTAGAGCGGACTAGGGATATAGTATACATTTAATGAATACTTACTGAATGAAAACTCTTTCCTTAATTATTTCAAAACATAATTATTCAACATAGTAAAAAGAAGGGAAAATAGTGTCTAGTTGAACCCTGTAGGAATACTGTGTGACACAAGGGACTTATGTTACAGGAAGAATTCTCTTAATAACAAATTAATAAATTGAAGTTCTTTATATGTAGAATATTTCTTTTTTTACGTCTATGTAAAAGATATGTTGTTGTTGTTAAGTACCATGGAGTCGGTTCTGGCTCATAGTGACCCTGTACAGGGTTTCTGAGGCTGTAAATCTTTACGGGAGCAGAACGCCTCATCTTTCTCCCGCGGAACTGCTGGTAGTTTAGAACTGCTGACCTTTTGGTTGGCAGCCTGACTTGTAACCACTATGCTACCAGAGCCCCACTGCAGATGTTTATTCCTCCCTGTTTCAATGTCATTTTCTGAAATGGGGTGGTTTCAGTGCAAGGATGGGGAGGTCAGTAGAAGGGATAGTGTCTAGATATGTTTATAGAGACAAATGGAGGATCATGAAAAAGGATCTGAAACTAAGTAGGCAAATCATTAGGCACAGCTGGAATTGGAGGAGTAGGTGTCATAGATGAGTACAAAAGGGATATGGAGAGCTATGAAACCTTAGCCTGCAGCTTCTAGCCTACACAGCATCTGGAAATCTTGGCATACTGATGCAGTCATTGCCGAAGGAGATAGGATATTGATGTGAGAGCTTGGGACCTTATGGATACTGGATATTTGGGCCCTTGAGAAAGTCTGTGGGCCTAGCTAGTGAGACAACAAGAAGAGGAGGGAAAGTTACAATACCTTAAGCAAAAGGAGGCTGCAGTTACTAAAATAGCCTCAGATCATGAGGTGAATTGTAGTGTTAGGAGCTCTGGTGGGGTCCTGGTGTGGCACTATGGGCTAATGCGTCATACTGCAAAGTCATTTGAACTGCAAGATCGGTTGCAGTTACTCCTTGGAAATCGCTTTGGGTTGGAATTGATTCAACGGCACTTAACAGCAACAACTACAAAGAGATATATGGTAGCATAGTGGTTACGAATCAGGCTGCTCACCTCAAAGTCGACAGTTGGAAACGACCAGCTGTTCCATCAGAGAAAGATGAGGCTTTCTGCTCCCGTAAAGATTTATAGCCTTGGAAATCGTATACAGGAAGCTATGAATCGGAACGACTCCATAGCATATAACCACCACCACCAAGAGCTGTGCCGTTGTTGTTGCTTAAGTGCTATCAAGTCACTTCTGAGTCATTAACGACCATGTATGGGGTTTTTGAGGAACAACTGGTGGATTTGAACCTCCATCCTGGCAGTTAGCAGTCCAGTACTTATCCTACAGCACCACACCAGGACTCCATAAGAACAGATTCTTCAAGGTTGTCTTATGCTGTTATCAATTTATGGCATATGTGAAACGTAATTCCTGAAATGTTGCCAGTTCCCATGAGGAATGGAATTGACTAAAGTACTTGACTGCTAACAAAGAGGTCAGCAGTTCTAACCCACCAGGTGCTCCAAGGGGAAAAGATGTGGCAGTTTGCTTCCATAAAGACGTACAGCCTTAGAGACCTTCTAGGGCACTTCTGTTGTGTCCTGTAGCGCTGCTGTGGGGCTGCCTCAGGTCACTGTCAATGGTTTTGTTTTTGTTGAAGGCGTTGACTAAGCCATTTTAAGCTTTGGGTCTCTATTTTGTCCTTTATAAAATGAGAGTCAGGTTAGCTAATCAGTGAGGTTCATTTCAACTTTATAAAAAATGAAATAATTTTTGTTTTTCTGCAAATTGTAACAAAATCGTAGTGAGTCTGAAAGCTTTAGAAAACTGTTACACGAGAAATATATCATCAAACATCTCAAAAAGAGAAGGATAATAACAGTATCTCTTTATCCTATAGCGTGCTCACTGATTGTAAGCTACTGTCATATTTAACACAGTCATACTGGGAACTGGGAACACAGTGAGTGAAGTGTTGGGCTGTTTAAACCTGCTAGCTGCTTTGAAGGAGAAATCATCTGTTCCCATAGATTTATTGTTTGGGAAAGCCTATGGTAGGACTTATACTCATCCTGTCGTGTCGCTGGTAGTCAGAATTGACTTGATGGCAGTGGATGGGTCCTACTTACTTGTAGGCTACTCTCAGTAGGTGATAGTTTGTGTTCTAGTCTAGTCTAAATACTTGACTGTTATTATTAAGTGCCCTTGAGTTGTTTCCAACTCCTAGCCACCCTATATATGGCTTGCAAGGAGTGGCTGGTAGAAGTGATTAAAGTTATTGTGAGCCTCTAAATGTATTTTTTTAAAAAGCAAGTCTTCAGTGATATGAGTTCAACTTATTTTAGATTGTTTCATCTTAAGTTGGGTAAGATGACAGCAGGGGAAATTGTGTTCAGATACTATAGTCTTGGGATTTTGCTTCTGGGTTAAATTTTCTTATTTGTCCATATTTAAAACGTGTGCATTGAATACAATGCCTAGGTTCTTGAGCTTTGTAAAAGAACTTATAGTTGATTTCCAAATCGTTCCAGAGACTAGAGGCAAAAGGGATAGAGAAAAGGACACGAGAGAAGAACGGGAGTATGAACAGGATCAGAGCTCTTCTAGAGACCACAGAGATGAAAGAGAAGCTCGTGATGGTCGGGACCGCAGAGAAACCAGAGATGCTAGAGAACGCAGGGAACTAAGAGACTCCAGAGAGCTGCGAGACTCCAGAGATCTGAGAGATTATAGCCGAGAAAGCAAAGAGAGTCGGGAGCCTAGAGATTCTCGGTCCACTCGTGATGCACATGACTACAGGGACCGGGAGAGTCGGGACACTCATCGAAAGGAGGAAACATACCAGGAAGAATCCCGGAGTTACGGCAGAAACCATCTGAGAGAAGAAAGTTCTCGAACTGAAATAAGGAATGATTCCAGAAATGAGTCTCGAAGTGAAATTAGGAATGACCGGATGGGCAGAAGTCGGGGTAGAGCTCCAGAGTTACCCGAAAAGAGTAAGTTTGCTAACACTTAGGTGAACTGCTGTTTTATATATTCAGTAGAAATTATTCTTAACTTTCCTTAGATTTTTTTCTAAATGTATTATTATTCATTATCATTTTGACTTAATTAGTTTTCAGTTTTTTGAATATTGTGTTCTTTTCTGTAAATTCTGAATAGGAATTATTAGCTAAATTAGACAGCAAAGCTAAAGAAGACCCCCTATTTAAATTATATTCAGTCATGTCTACCATCTGAAATCTGGTCGTTAAAACAAGTGGGATTGTAATGATGGACTTTCAAAAATGATGACATTGGAAAAGACTGATTCTTGCTTTAAACCATTACATATCAGGATCTTGAGCCATTTTTAAAAAACCTTCCCTTAAAAAAGCATTGTCATGTGCTGTGGGTTAATGCCCTAGACTGCAGACTCTGTTTGAACCACAATGTCAGTGGTTTAAGCTCACCAGCTGTTCCTCAGAAACCATATACAGGGTTGCTGTGAGTTCAAACAGACTCCACGGGATTTAACAACAACAACTAAAATATATTTATGACTCTCTCCAAACCACTTCTTGTTATTATTGTTGTTGTCGGTAAGTGCTGTCGAGTTGGTTCCGACATACAGCAATAGGGTTTCCAAGGCTTTAAATCTTCACGGGAGAAGAAAATCTCTTGTTTCTCCCGTGGAGCGGCTCGTGGGCTTGAACCACAGGACCTTGTGGTTCACACTCCAGTTCTTATCATATGGAGTTGCTGCGCTCCCCTGCAAACTACTGTGGTAGTGTGCCATGGAGTTGGCTCTGACTCATAGTGACCTTGCATAGGGTTTCCAAGGCTATAAATCTTCACAGGAGCAGAAAGCCCCATCTTTCTCCCATGGAACGGCTGATTGACTTACTTAATTTTGACATTTGTTGTTAAGTGCTGTCGAGTTGGATCGACCCATAGCAAACCCTATACAGGGTATCCGAGGAGCGACTGGTGAGCTTGAACCTTGCAGTTTAAATGGCTTTGCAGTCTGGCGCATTAGCCCACAGAACCACACCAGGACACATACAATGCTACAGGATTCTGGGTCCTTGTAGTGTTAACATTGGTCTTTTGGTTGGTTTATACCTAGTCGGTCTTGTAGCTTCATAGTAAGTGTTGAAGACCCCTCACCTCCTTCAATGTTGTCTTGGCTTTTCTTGACCCCTTGGTTTTTCATAAACATTTTAGACATTTATAGAAATTTCATGGGGTAGGGGAACTCTTAAGTTTTTATTTCAAATGCCCTAAATGGATTAATTAATAAAACATTAATGTTTTATACATATTTCATTCCTGAGTGCTTTATATTTTTAATACCTTTGTAAATGGTACTTTAAAAATCTCTTAATTTTTTTTTTTTTTTTTTTGTATAATGTATTATCATGGTTCAAAATCTCTAAGGTACAAAAAGAGATACACTGAAAAACTATCTCTGTCCCTTTCCTGTTTCCTCTTTCCAGAAATATCCATTTTTGCCCTTTTTGAATTTATACTTCTAGTAAAATGAATATATGCAAGGAAATATGTGAATCCAGTCATTTCCCCCTTGAACTTTATAAAACTAATTTAAAAATACTTTTATTAGGAAAAATTGCATACTGCTGATTTCATTTAACAAAATATCCTAGAGAGTGTTTCATATCAGTAAACTTAGTAAAGAGCTCATTCCTTTGGTTCACAGTGTTCATAGTGTATAGTTAACAAGTCTTGCACTGATGGATATCAAGGCTTTCTTATTCTTTTCTTCTTTGAATAAAAGGAACCCTGGAGGCACAGCAGATAAGCGCTCAACTGTGGACCGAAAGTTCTGTGGTTCAAACCCACCAGCCACTCCGCTAGAGCAAAATGTAGTTAGCTCTGTAACGATTTACAGCCTCAGAAACTGTGGCCAATTCCACTCTACCCTGTAGGGTCTCTGTGAGTTAGAATCCACTCGATGGCAGGGATTTCAGTTTGGTTTGGTTTGGTTTTCAGTAAGTAACGGTGTTTATTCCACTAAATTATTTCTTATAAGACTTTATATTTTCTAAAGCTTACTTCTGAGATATGGGAGTGGTAATTGATATTTGTATTAATAATTTTATATTCAAATCATGTTGCTATGTTTTCTTAGTATGTCTGATTATTTGTAGATTCTCTGAAACACTTGTCTAGGAAGAGGGAGGCATATTTGTCTCTTCCTTTCTGATCATTATTCTTTTTAGTAACGTGCTGAGCAGTGCCTTCAGTATAGTATTGAATAGGAACTATATGAAGAGCTTTTTTGTTCTGACTGAAATTTTAAAGAATTACCCTGGCATTTCACTATTCAAGTATGATGTTTATAAATTTTAATGATGCATCTTATTATCTTATGGGTGTTTCCTAATTTCCCAGTTTAGCTCACAGTTTTATCTTGACAGTATTTGAGATCCCATGAGTATAATTTGTCTCTATTACTTTGTTACTTATGCTAATGTATGCAAATTTAGAACTATCCTTGCATTCCTGAGATAAATGAAATTTTATCCTCTTTTTTAGTTTAAGTCAAATTTCCATGGTATAATTACTGGTTCAAACCTACCAGCCACTCTGCTAGAACAAGATATGGCATAGTATATTTCAAGCTAAGTGGTTACAAATCGGGCTGCAAGCCTCAAGGTCAGCAGTTCGAAACTACCAGCTGTTCCACAGGAGAAAGATGAGGCCTTCTGCTCCGTAAAGATTTACAGCCTTGGAAACCCTGTGTAGGTTCGCTACACGGCACATAACAACAACAACAACATGATGTCACTCTGTCTGGTGTTGGGAAGAGATGCATACAGTTGGCTCTGGCAAGCAGTGTGAGGCAGTCTAGCATGCCACACCATTTGATTTTCATTCATTATATTGCCCTTGTTTGGTTTGGGGAGTAAATATGTTAGAGAAATGTTGAGGTTTTTTTTTGTTGTTGTTGTTGTTTTTTATAAGTTTGATTACATTTGTCTGTTAAATCTGGTGAGCTTCTCATTTTTCTAATAGTCACAGCTTTTACTATGGTCTCTGGTTGTGCATTGATTAAGTGCCTGACTACTAACTGGAAGTTGGCAGTTAGAACCCATAGGAGAAAGGCCTGTTGATCTGTTCCCATAAAGATTGTTGTTGTTAAGTGCCGTCGAGTTGTTCTGACTCATAGTGACTGTATAGGGTTTCTTAGGAGCAGCTGGTGAGTTTGAACCACCAATCTTGTGGTTCAAACTAATGTTGCAGTCCAGCACATTGATCGGCAGCTCCACACCAGGGCTCCCGTGTAAATAGGAGAGCCTAGAAAACCCTTTGGGGCATTTCTACTCTGTCATGTATGAATTGAAATCGACTGGACAGCACACAAAAGACATTTATTACTGATTGGTTTCTCTAATAATTGTAGCTTTGTTTAGATTTCCTATTTCTTCTTGAAGCTATTCTAGTCAGCTTCTTTCCATTCCCCAGGAAATTAGTTTTTGAAATATTTGTTTCCAATTTTTTTTTTTTTTTTTTAATCTGTAATTCTTTCCTTTTCTCCCTTGATCAATATTGGAGAGGTTGGTTTATTTTGAGTCTTTTCAGAGAACCATTCTATGACTTTGTTGATATTCTTTTGTGTCTTTTTAAAAATTTCATCCATTTTTGTGTTTTTACTCTGTTCTGAAACTAAATTTCTTCTTTTGACTCATGAATTACAAAGGAAAGGACGTGTTTTTTATTAAGTCCCCTCCACGTTTATAATTTGTCAAAGTATGATTTTTTTTAAAGTTCTTTAAGTGTTTGTATTTGTTAAAGACATTTTGTAACTCAGTAGTCAATTTTTGTCATTGTTGGTGTAAATGTTAAAGAAGAGTTTATTTTTAACAATTGGATGCAAAGTATGTCTATAGTAACAAATTTGTTAATACTTTCATATCGTTTGCACTACATCTAACCTTTTTTTTTTTCAATCTACTTGTTTTATCATATCAGAAATTGAGTTAATTCTTCCATGACCATTGTGAATTTGTTGATTTTTTTTTGGAAATTTGGTCAAATTTTGCTTTGAATATTTTTAGGCTTTACTTTTAGGTCCAGGAGATGAATTACTCCTTTTATCTTTATAGAATGACCCTATTCATTTTTATTGGTGCTTTTCTTTTAAGATTACTTTGCTAATGGAAGCGTCCTTTTTTTTTTTTTTT